GAAAAATTATATAAAACTCTGCAAGAATATGCTATATGTCTGTTCTATGAAAGGAAAGATGGATATTTCATTTAAATAAAAATGTTACACTAGTGAATGTGATTTTATCAAAATGCTCTAATGATCACTTTGCCTGACTTTGTGGCTCCTGAGACACTCACTTTCATTTCAGTTGTCCTTCAGCATATAACAGAGGGTCTAGCAGTCAATATTCAGTTTCACTTATAGAGATATTTCAGTTCTTTTGGGTAAAGAAAGTCCAATGGCTGGTCTGAAGCAAAGAACTTCAGAGACACAACCAAAGTGAAAATTATGCTGGTCAGGGTGACTAATGCCACAAACTCATTTGATTCTAGTCTGCAATCACTAGCAAGTAGGACCTCACAAGCAGCCAATGGATGGCCTTACTATGGGCACACTTAAGTATGAGCAGAAAGGGACAGTGTCTCTGTGTTTTTTTCTGATATTTTTCAAAAAAGGAGAAAGTTCAGTTTTCAAAACCTGAAACTCCTTTGACCATCACAACCTGCAAAATCAACGTCTGACTTCTTCTGCACCTAGGTCCAGCCTTTGTATCCTCTGGGAGACAAAGCTGAAAAGGGCCTAGCAGTTAATTTCTCAATTTGCAAAACACTTCCTTGGGACACATCTGTCAGGCTGTGGAACAGCTTATGTCACTTCTTCTTGTGCCAGCTTATTGCTGCTCTAACATTAAAGCCGCAGGACCTATCGTGGAGCTTAGACTCTCCTTTAGCAATGTCTCCTCCGTATGAGACTATAGTAAAAATAAAAAAGGACATCTAATCTCACTGAGAATCTTAAAGAAAACACAGTGATGAGTAAATGAGTGCCTCGGTTTCTTTTTTTTTCAAAATTTTTTTTAACCAGGGCTCGAACCCATGACCTAACTCTTGCCTAACTTATGCTGCTAAGCTAAATCCATGGCCTTAGTGCCTCAGTTTCTTTCACCCTGTCTTTTGGTGGAGAAACAAATATCACAATTATTCAGAAGCATGGACAGAATTCATGTTCAACTGAAATGACATCAATAATCACAGCTGCACTATCTCTTCTAATTTTTGCAATGAGACAGGATATTACTTTGTCTCCTGATTTTTGCCTTTTCACTCTTATATCCCCCAAATATTGCATAACAAGTATCCCACAATAACATCATCAAAGACTCCCCTGTGTGCACTGATTGCTGATTTTCCAGAGCCAGACATTCTTCCATTACCCCATAACTTCTGAGGGTCAGCCTATGGGTCCATTCTCCCCCACTGATGAAGATTTATATTTCCTGGCATTAGGTGGTGCCACTGCCATCGCAGGTTTGGTCTCCTTTCCTCTGTGACAGCCTCTCACATCATCATCTACCTTTCTCACAGATGGAGAGATGTGGTATTGTCAGCACCTTCTCTGGCATCTGATTCTTTACCCAGTACACATGCCCGAAGTGTGGGCCCACCTCTAGCCTGGACTCCTTGCTAAACTAGTGTCTCACCAAGTCAGATACAAGAGCTTCCTCTTTAAAGCCCTATGTAAGAAGACCTGGACTCTCATAGCACCCTTTGTACCAGCACTAGCATTCTTGTCACTACTCCGTAATTTTGGCGCTATTTGTTTAATCTTTTTGTCTGCTTTGTCTCCTCTTAGCTAGATTTTATTAAACTTCAGATGGTCACATAGATGCATTCTGCCATAGAGGTCTTGTCTGACTTCTGTCACTGCCCATTCGAACTCAAGAGTGACGATGCCCTTTACTGTTGGGTTCCTCTCACTGCCCCTATAGTTGGAGTGGTCATCATCTGTCTTCCCTAATGGAACTTAGGCTTATCTTTCAGAGCACAGAGTGAAACAGGAATTAGTAGGCAAGAGTTCAAAATCTACTGGACAGTGGCCACAAAGTGGAATAAAGAACCCCAAAATGGAGGTTGCTGAATCACCACCCTCAGTTGATGGTTGTGCCATGGCCTGAACTCCCTTCCACACTCCTTAATGATCCCTAAAAAGTGAGTTGACATGGCTGTCCTATTCAAAACCCCATTCCCGGCTAGAGGAATCTTCATTTTGTTACTTGTATATCTTTTCTTGCCTTTATACCTCTTAAATAAATGTGCTTGCACTCTGCCTCCTCTGTCCCAAGTTTCATTCATTTCATCTGTGTGTCACAGAGGGACTCAACCTCAGTGTTCCAGTGACAGTAGAAAAGGGTGTGTCACAATCAAATGGAAGATGTGAATACAGAAGCATGGGCCAGGTACTAAAAAATGCTGGGTGAATGGTTTTGCAGGTGGAGCAAGGAGCCTAAGATAAGCAGGGCATACTCACAGGCCAGGAAGGAGGTGAATCAGGATTTGTTTCTTAGTTTTCATTAAAGTGCTGGTCTCTGAACAAGCAGAGTTCACCATGGAAGCTTGCAGAGAGGCTACTTGGAATCACACAGTTTGTGGTATGTAGAACAGGGGAATCCTGCTGCTGTGCCTGGCTCTCTGACATGAGGATTTGGGCATATCACGCCACATCCTAGGAAAGCAAGTGGAATCCAGGGTTAGTGCAAGGCTTTATCCAGACAGACAGAGTGTTCTGTCCCAGATGATGAGCAAAGATGGTAATGAGCAGAAACTACTACCAGATAATAATAAAAAACCCATCATCCAAATGTGTATTTTAAAGAATGGGAGTATAGAAAGGTTAATTGTGAATGCAAAAGTAAAGAAAAAAAGGTAAAGGATGCAAGATGAGATTTATGGCACCGAACTAAAAGTGAGATAAAAGTGAGATAAAGTGTGGGCTTCCTCACCAGAAACTTCAATTCTTAAAAGTGTTATTCCTTTTTATAAGTAAACACATTTCTAAGATTACAAGGGCACTTTACAATTACATAGACTTTTATCTTTCAAAATGATAACCGTGACCTTTAGATACACTTTTTTTATTTTATCATATTACCATTAATGATTACATATTTTCTTTACTTCTAATACTTTAAGAATAATAAAGTCTGTCTTCTATTTCACGTTGTGCTACCTTTAATTAATTCCTCTATATCAAGGGACATTAGTTTACCAACTCTAAAATTCATAATAATGAAAAGATCATAGTTTACCGAATGTTGTAAATTATATCATAATTTAAGACATTTTTATGCTTTATTCTTTGTTGCATAAAGCTAAACAGAGTCATAAATTGCATATAATGCTTGCCTGATTTTTGGTGTCTTAATTATTGATAGTTTTTAAAAGTTACATAACAACCCTAAGTAAGTTATACAGTTTAATAAAATTAAACTATAATAAAGTTATATAATGCTATAATTATGTCAAAGTCTCTGTTTGTTTATTTGAAAATGATTTCCAGAATCTGTTAATCATTCTCCTCAACCATGTTGTGTGCTGTAGGAGTGTTTCTGCTGCACACTTGTACCCTCATCATCAATGAAAAGTCTGCTTGAAATCCCCTCCTCCAAAATTCACAAAATGTTTTATCTAGGAAAAAATTAAAAGAACCACAATTTGGTGGTCAGGGGTTGTGCAGAGAATAATTAGAATCTGGACATGAATTTTATAATGTTATTTTTATAATGGTCACCAGGAGTTAACACAAGAGAATGCAGGAAATTATCCACACCACCAAAACAGAATATTTAAGGCCTAAATCCCAAAGCAATGTCTCACACGAGTCCAGATGAAAACCCAGAGCTTGTGACAATACCTCCTATGAGTCCAACTGGAGGTCCAGAGCCCCCAGGCAGGAATCAGGCCATGCCAGGAAGGCCCAAACATCAGCAGTGGAAGCCAGAAGGTCCATGCCAGTGGAGTGAAGGAGCTGTGTTGGTGGGATGAGAGTTCTATGCTGGAGCTATGAAGTCACATTCACAGCAAGACCAGGGCTGTCCTGAAAGGTACCATAGCCATCCTCAGCGACACAGAGGCCCCAAGCTTCTCCGACAAGCATATTCAGGTACAGCCAGGAAGCTGGCATGACAGGGGCATCCTGGAGACCAAGCGGCACATGTCTTCCCCTGCAGAGTAAGGAAGCAACGCTCCATGTGAGGACCAAAGCTTCTCCAGGAGAACCAATGGCTCAAACAGCAACTCGTAGGAGAACCCACAATGCTTCAAAGCAATAATGCAATAATGCAACAACGTATTAATGCCTTAACACCTTCCTTCTTCTTCCCCACCTCTTTATTTATGCTGGCAAATTTCCTCAGGAGGCACATCTATGCTCAGTGACATGCTAATGTAATCCAGCTGCCATTAAATTGACCACCACTTCATAATTAATAACACATAATTTTCAAATTTTTAACTGGAGAGTGATTTTTAATTCATTAAATTTTTATTGTTGAGGCTCGGGATGTAGCTCAATGGCATAAACACCTGCCTTGCAAGCAGGTAGTCATGAGTTCAATCACCGGTACTGATAAAAAAGAAAAAGACAAAAAAAAAATTTATTGTTAAAGTGTGTCTGTGTGAGGGGTTTTTGTTAAGTAACGTGCTCAAGAAGTTATTCATTATGACAAAGTAAAAAAAAAAAAAAAAAAAAAAAAAAACAACCCTAAACACCAAGAAAATAGGCATTTGAATTTTCTAATCCAAATAATGTTTAGTAGGGGCCAGGAACTTGGCTCAGTGGCACAGCACCTGCCTGGTATGTGCAAGGGCATGAGTTTGATTCCTGGTTCTCTCTAAAAAAATGTACTGAGACAGATAATGTTTTGTAGGTTTTCAGTGTTACACTAGTATATGATAATATGTCAAAGATGGAACAGAAAAAATTTACATAAAGTAGTACTTTTTCAGTTAATAGTAATTCACTTAACAATTGCCTTTCAGAGGAAATAGCAAGCTGGTTCCAATTTTGTACTCAAATGTGAAGCACAGTTTTAATCTCACCACTCCCACAAGAACAACATTGCTCAATTTACTGTGATTACGTAAACAGCAAACAGGTAGTGCCTTTAATGATAACAGAAGCAATGTCAATTGATTTTTACTTTAAGCAGAAGATTGGCTGAGAGTATGCAGGAAGTTTGTCGCAATGGATTCTGGTTATAAATAACCTAGGAAAACGGAAGGGGAAAAACAAAACAAAGTAAGAAGCAATGGATTCCAAACATCAGCGTGTGAAACTGAGTGATGGCCACTTCATTCCTGCACTGGGATATGGCACCTATAAGCCTCAGGAGGTAACAGGAGCACTGCCGGGGGAGGGAATTAAAAAGAAAGTAACGTGGGAGGAATGGCTGACTTGGCAGGTCAGGTTGCTCAGTGCCTACATGATTCCAGGAGTCTTAACCAGGTTTTCTGTTTTTCTAAGTTAGATAATTTCCATGTGGTGCAGAGAAGATTATTATACCTTGCTCTGCATTGGGGGCTGGTTAAACTGTCTTCTGTTGATTATTCTGGGAAGTATTTATTTTCCTATATCACTTCGTTTGCCAGATGGGCAGGAAAGATAAAAATCTGCAGTCAGCACAACTGCTCCTAAGATTCTTTTCACAGTTATTTGATTCCAGTGAGGGTGTTTTATCTACTTTTATACTTTTGGAAATTTATATTTCCTCCCATGAAGACAAGATCTTGAGAAAGAGCATGATAAATGTGAATGGAAATGAGAAATATACAATAAGTAATAGGGAGTACTGCTGTTGGGATTTGGAGTAGTCATGATCACCTCAAGGTAAGTAGTAAACAGGGGTTAAACAGAGTTTCCAGTGTATTGTTCTCAACCGCTGAAAATTATTCTGAAGTTACAGCATAACATGATGACAGGAAAAACTGGCACCTAGTAAGAGTATATAAGAATCATAAGCTTTTCACTATGTAGGATGTATCTAAGCATAATGATAGAGATTGTCTTCTGTAATGAAGTTCACAAGTAGATAGTTCACTAGTTTTAAAGGAAAATTTTCCAGTATTATCCTCTGACCACTTAATTGGTTTACAAGAGACCAACTCCCTGACCTTTGAAGTCATAATTTTCCTTTTAATCGTACATGCAAATATTCAAAGAGCAATAATGCAGGCATGAACTAGAACTGGTTATTTTTAGGACCAAGAAGCATGTAATACTGAAAAGGAGCTAGGATACACCAAACAATGGAGCCTTTCTAAATCTCTGAGTTACCTTATACCCAGGAAATTCACAGCTGGAATGGGCACTGATGGTAGGGATCTAGGCTTTCCTTCACTGTAATTGTATTGCAAACTGAAGGTTTCTGAAATTCATTAAGTCAAAAAGCATGTATTTAATTTTTGTTTTTACCTCATAAGTTAACTTTGTTTTTTATTGGTATATGTTAAAATACATAAAAGTTAAATTCATCTAGGGGAAGGGCACATACAGTATGTGTATCACTGCTTTGTCATTTTTAATTTCAACTCATAGCCAAAAGTGGTACACAAGGCAACAATTCTAAATTTTACTTCAATCATGTCTACCCTAAAAAACATTTATGTTTGAATGGTTGAAAGATAATTCAATATCCCATGAAGAAGGTAATTTTTTATTTATGTCTATATATTTGGAGTACCCATTTTGTTAAGCCAGTCTTACTTTTTTCATATACTAAGACTGGATTGATAACATATAGCCATTCTCATTGTATTAAGGAATTCAAAAAAGAGTTAATCTGAGACACCACTATATATTCCAGTTGCCATTAACAACCTGGACCCAATGTGGCATCTAGGAACTTTGATTTCTTACCACTCAAAGCGTGTAATATTGGTGGCTGCTCCTAAAATGATAGACTGTGACTTTTATATAAACCCATTTTGCTTTACTATACTGGATCCTGATGTGTTTGAGCATGGGATGAATGTAAAACTCATCCATAAACAAATCTTAGGAAATATTTCCATATAGTCAAAAGCACTGGAGACAGTGTTTTTGATACAGGGTCAGAATTCAGTGTAGTGAGTATTTAATGTGTTATGTATCTTCACTTGTAAAAGACTTTTAGAAATGTACACAGTATTTGTTCTGTACTTTGTCCCATGCATTTTGCCCTCTGTGAATTTTACTTTATGACCTTACTATATAAATTATAATGAACAAAACCTGTACTCTGAGTTCTTTGATTTCTAGAACAGATTATCTCCTGAGATGCCACTGATATATTCAAATGGCCTGAGTCTAAGTTGATGCTTGAGATAATAAATTTTAGAAAGGCTCAGGGAAAAATGGATTTGGGCTTTGCTTCATTACTCCAGGTTAAGAAGTAACTCGAGGCATGAGTTGATTTTCTGAAGGTCATTGCTTCTGCTAATGAACTTAACAATTTTTATTTGCATGTTTACTTCTGTCTTATAGACAGAAGTTGGAAATTTGAAGTTCAGACAACTAGTCCTTTGTCACACAGTTAACAAGTCTGAGGAAGACTTTGGAATGCACTGTTTATTCCAATCTAGTGAACTATTATTGATTTTGCTTGCTGAGCCAAGAATTCTGAGCCAAGAATCATAATATGCACTGTATCTTACAAAGCTAAATTCCATTGCTGCTTTAGGTTCCTAACAGTAAAACCTTGGAGGGCACCAAATTGGCTATAGATGCTGGATTTCGCCATATTGATACTGCATATGCTTACCAAGTAGAAGAGGAGGTAGGACTGGCCATTAAAAGCAAGATTGCAGAAGGTCGTGTAAAGAGAGAAGATATATTCCTCACTTCTAAGGTATCTTGTATAAAGTGTTTGCTTTGCGAATTAACAAAATGTGATGTGCAGAAACAAAAATTAAATTATTAGATTCGTACTTCATTAAATGTGCTGTTGGTATAACTTTCATTCACATATAATTCATATATAAGATTTAGTACTAGAAACAGAGAAAGATTAGGACTTCATATTCTGGTCTATGAATTTATAATTTTAAAATCCCTTTATCAAGAATATCAACATCAGTGTGATTTTGTATAGGTTGTGGAATAGGCAAGAACTAAAATCAGATTATGGCTTTCCTACTCTCTTGAATGACTTTCTAAAATTTTTGATCATTATGAATTTCAATTTTTTCCTTTGTCAATACTGAGAACTAGTATAGAAGTTCTTATGTAGTAAGAAAGATATAACTAAACTGTCTTGTGTTCTTCCCAACACATATTGAAGTGTTGGGTGATGTTTCAGAGAATCAGCTCTTCAATTCATTGATTCTTTGTATTGTTTCCTTAGTCAGAGGTGCATTAATTTCTTCTCTGATCTTATTATTTCATCTCCCATAGAAGCTATGGGATTGACAAAATCCATAGGCAACGTCATACCAAATGGTCAAAACTTAAAGCTTTCACTCTAAAATTAGAAACAAAAAGAGGATGTCCACTATCACTACTTGTATTCAATATATTCAGAGCAATTTCCCAAGAGAAAGAAATAAAAGGAATAAGGATAGAAAAGGAGGAAGTTAAATTATCATTATTTTCAGATGATATGATATCAAGTCAACACTGAAAATTAGTAACATTCTTGTATACAAACAACAAACTCACCGAGAGAGAAATTAGATAAAGCACATTTTCCATAATAGCATGAAAAAAAGTGAAACACTTAGGAATCAATCTAAAGAAGGAAAAAAAGGTGTTTGCATTGAAAATTAAAGTACTCTGAAAAAGGAGGTTAAAGAGGATATCTGAGCACGTGGGTAGGAAGAACAAAGAGTAAAAATGGCTGTACTCTTAAAAGTAATACACAGATTTAATAAAATCCCAATCAAAATATCAATAGCATACCTCACAGAATTAGAAAAAACAATCCTAAAATTTGGAACCACAAGTTACTTAAAATAGCGAAAACAAAAAAAAAAATTTCTGAGCAACAAAAATAAGGCAAGTGATATCACAATGCCTGACCTGACATACTTCAAAGCTACTGTGATAAAAACAGCATGGTACTGGGGGAAAAAGAGGCCTAAGGGTCAATGCAACCAATTAAAAGATACAGAAACAACTCCAAACACACTCAGCCATCTGATCTTTAAGAAAGGAGCCAAAGACCTTCCCTGGAAGAAAGATAGTGTTTTTAACAGGAAAAAACTGGCTTTCTACATGCAGAAGATTTAAACTAGACACATGTGTCTCATACACTAAACTAAAATAAAAACGGATGAAAAATCTCAACATTAAAACAGAAACATGAAGTCTGCTGGAAAATAAAATAGGAAGAACTCTTGAAGACACATATGTGGGCAAAGAGGTTATGAAGAAAACCCCATTTGCATGGGAAATACTACAAAGAATCAACAATACTTTGTATAGAAAGACAAACCACCAACACAGTGAAGAGACAGAATGGCAAATTTTTTTCCAGGGGTTCCTCAAACAAAAGACAGATATTTAATTCAGCATAATTTCCATTTTTAAACATCTACAGCTTTGGTGTACTTGTCATCGACCAGAGATGGTCAAACCCAGCTTGGAAAGTTCGCTAAGAAAACTTGGTTTGGACTATGTTGACCTTTATCTCATTCACTACCCAGTGGCTATGAAGGTGAGCAGTTTGCATTGTGCAGTGTGGCTATCATTTTCATGGATGGCGGAGCACATTCTGTGTTACCCTTTGCCGTGATTTGTCTGTTTGTTCTGTAAGAGGGTCTTTTTGTGTATGACTTTTACTTTAACACTGTGACCAGTCTTTTAATTTTATGACACACAGTGTGTGAACTATCACTATCCTCTAATTTTTTTTGTGAAATGTTTATTTTCTCATATAAGAAGAAAAGTACTTTCTAGGTTTTCTTTATTAATATCTAATTGTATTATATTAAAACAAAGATGAATCCATCCCTTTATCTACATTTAACTGTTTAGGAGTTTCCTTGGTTAAATCCATCTTTAGCAAACCCTTAGTTGTTCATATCTGGGCCTCTCTTTCCCTTTGTATGCCCAAGTTTCCAGGTTGATGAAGAACACTGATCATTTTGCCAGAGTCAAGATTGCAGCTCCTTATTGCTGGAGATCAAGGCTGTCATGCTTGACTTTGCAATGAAAGAGATGAATACTCACAAATGTGTGCTGGGGAAAGGAAATTAATATAAGTCCATGACCCCTGCCCCCAGGACTTGCAAAAATATTGTCCATTATACATAGTGCTTATGTAAGATTATAGGAGAACCAAAGTACCCAACGGCATAACTCCACACAATCTTCAGTGTAAATACAAGTGTATGGATTGATGCTAAATTTATTTCATTGAGATCAAATGCGCCATAACTTAGATACATTTTAGCACTTTGCTAAGAGTTAGATGCAGATACCTGAGGAGATTACTGACATGATGTTTCCAATCCAGCCAGGAGAAGACCTTTTTCCAGCAGATGAAAAGGGAAAAACATTGTTGGATACAGGAGACATATGTGCCACATGGGAGGTGAGTACAAGGGAGAATTTATATCAGAGAATTTAATCGTCAAGTCATGCATCAACCCAGAAGAATGGTCCATAATACTCTTCTTCTAGATTGGTGGAGTGGATTTTCACACATTACATAGAAATACAATGGTGTGAAAAGAATGAACAGAATTGAGGACATTAATTATAACTATCTCTCTTTCAAATTCAGTAATGTCCCTAATTCCCAAAGAAGAATATAAGAAATATATTTCTGGCATTCAGGATCTTTTTCTCTTTTTGTCTTTCCACTTTTACCTTACCAACAATGAATTGCAAATAGAATCAATGCCACTTTTTCTAAGCAGTCGTGTGTTTCAGTTAGAGCGACATAGCAATTTGTACCAATGACATTTTATGATGCCCTGTTACCCAGGCCATGGAGAAGTGTAAGGATGCAGGATTGGCTAAATCCATTGGAGTTTCTAACTTTAACCGCAGACAGCTGGAGATGATATTGAATAAACCAGGACTCAAGTATAAGCCTGTCTGCAACCAGGTGAGTTCTACCAGTCTCCTCTCCATTCTTATTCATTTGCTGGTTTCTGTCCAACTGCCCAGGGTCCATTTGTGCAACCCCCACCCCTTCCTCATTTTACCTCTGTGGAATGGAAGTTTCTAAGAGCAATTTGTCACAGAGGACACAGAGGATCATCAATTGTATCTCTTCCTGGAAAAGTCTTAATGAAATTAGTGGGAAGATCTTAGTGTCCAATAGGCATAAAAGTCCAGTGCTGTTATAGATCTCAGAGGGAAGGTGCGCTCATCATGAAGCTATAAAGAATCACTGTGGATTGTTTTCTGAAGATGTTTTGCAGAGTGAAGTATAAGAAAGAAGACCATGAAATATGGAATGTATAGTTAACAAAGATAGATGGAAAATAAATTAGTGAGCAGGGTTTTGGGGGTTCTGGGCGTTCTGGTACAGATGACTTCTTATAATTTTTTTTGAATTCTTGTAATTTTGTTTGAAAGTTTTCTTTGGTAAATTTTATTTTATTGGTATACATTGTCACACATAATTATTACATTCAGTTTGGGGAATTAGTACATGTGTATAGCGTCTCAATTCTTTTACTGTTCACCCTTTTTCCCTGCCTCCCTATTTCTCTATCTCTTGGTCACTTTTCTTTTTACAAAACATCTATCTCCCTGATTTATACTTCCTTTATTTTGCTCTATGCTTTGTTTTTATTTTTGGTTTTACATAGAAGAGAAATCATGGTATATTTAAACTTGCTTGTCTGATTTACTTCACTTAACATTTGATCTCACTTTTTATCAGTGACTCAAGTTTATCCTTTATGGCAGAGTGTACTTCATTGTTCATAAATACTGTATTTTCCTTATCAGTTCTTATGTTTACAGACTTTATGACCAGAAATATAGCTACTAGATAAGTAAACTAGGGACCATGAAAATCATCCAAGTGTGACATATTTAGCAGTTTATAAGAATGGTGGATGTAAACTTTATTCAGAAACATGCCACATAATGTATACCTGAATATTTGCCTGATCACATCATAACCAGGTTTTTCTCCATGCTTTCTCTTTTCAAATCAACTATTTCAAATGATGAGTTCTGTGCTTTTTTTTTTAATAAATAATTTTATTTTTTGGTGAAATTGCATGTATAATGTAGAAGTTTTCAATTTGAAAGTAGAGCTTTTGATATTCATGAATGTATATAAAAATAACACACTGTGACTGTCAAATATAAAATTTAAAAGCTAAATATACTTTTAGTACACTTACATTATCGAAATATTTCAAATATTCAGAATAATTGAGACCAGAGTAATGAACACCAACATTATCTTACCCAGTTCAAAATGGTTGATGTTTTGCCACATGGTCAGATATTGATTTACATGGAAATGCCTGCATACAAATGTTTAGTTTTTTGTTTTTTTGTTTTTGTTTTTTTTTTTTTTCTGCATCTCTTCTAAGTGAATTTTAAGCTTGATATTTTGGAGACCCCAGAATATTCCTTTGGGCATGAAAGTATTATCTCGCATAAGTCACATAATTACCTGTTTACTAGTAAAGTCAAAGACATTAGCATACATTTCTCGTCTCATTTAAATGCAACAGGTGTTTGAATAGCCTAGTGACTTAAGAAAAATCTCCTGTAGTTCTTATCTTTATAAAAGATCCAACTGTTTCGTTCATTGATTTGTGTAATGTGGTATAATCAGATTATTGTCTTTTAATGTCAGTAAATTGATTGCATGTTGCCACCTTCCACCAACTGAAACATGAATTTGAGATCTTCATTGCATTAAGCTGGTATTTGCCACACAATAATCTCAGTGTGTTACGTTGTTCAATGGTACTCCAACAAAACACACATAATCACGGGTCCTCCCCACTATTCATGCTGCCTCTTTGATCACTTGGTTGAATATTTGTTGGTGATTTCTTCTTTGTGAGTATATTTTCTGCTATTATAATTATTAGTGTTTTGTAACAGTCAACAGTTTCAATTCAAAATCAGTTTTTATACGAGTGTACATTCATCACTTCTGTTAGAATTAGATGTTTCAGTAGAATTTATGAATAATTAATTTCATTTTAGCAAATACATTACCTTTCTTACATGGTGAAAACCAGTTTAATTGCATATTTTCTTGTGTGAAACCATTAAATTGCAATTATTTCTGAAGGATAGTGTAAACAAGAATACTGTTCCCTTTATTATCGAAGTTCAGAGAGAAGTTGCAATAATAACTACATCAACAAAAAATATTTTTTCTCTTTTTCTTCCTATGGTCTACATATTTGGATTCAAGAATTTTCACTTACTTGGTGTGTTATAATAAATTTTACACATTAGTGCTTTTAACACACAAATCTTCTGAAATGTTATAGGTAGGGTGCCTACCAAACTGGCTTTTTTTTTATCCTTTTAATATATGCTTATGATGCTTTGATCAATTTCTTGGCTTTTAATTAAGTTTGATTTCCAAACATTAAAGATTTGATTGTCCAAGGTCAAGAATTTGCAGTGTTTTTTTTTTTTTAAGATATAAAAGGTCGTTAATGTTTGCACACCTGGTTCATCTCAGTAAAGTTATTTTTGTTTTTTGATCCATCCTCACAGAAAATATGTTAAGGCTGGGGTTCTAGCTCAGCAGCACAGTGCCTGCCTGGGAAGCACATGGTTCTGAGTTTGATTTCCCATACAAACAAACAAACAAACAAAAAAGATAGAAAAAGAAAAAAGATTTTTAAAGAAAAATTTAAAGATTTTTAAAGAAAAAACATCACATTGAAGTTTTCTATTCAAATAAAATGTTGCACAATTTTCTTATCAAAATTTATTTACTATTAGATTCTTCCTTTCCTTTGACATTAGGTTTTCATGTGATCCATTTCTGCCTGTCCTTCTACAGGTGGAATGCCATCTTTATCTCAACCAGAGAAAACTGCTGGATTTCTGCAAGGCTAAAGATATTGTGTTGGTTGCTTATTGTGCTCTAGGATCTCAACGAGAAAAACGATGGTAATAATGAGAATAGAAATATAAAAAGACCCTGCTGGTTAAAAAAAAAAAAAAAAAATAGAACTCCTTTTATACTTTCTGTCATCTGGGGTCCACTGTCTTAGGAAGAGAGAGTAATTAACATTTCTTAAAGTGAATAGAAACTTGCAATACCCATGTGGCAACTTTGCTGAGTGCATTTGAGGGTGACCCTTGATCTAGACTGGGCTCCGTAATCTGTGGAAGCAGCCTCCCAATAAACCAAGTTTTCACTCTGGGTATTTGCCATTTCTGCCCTCCCTTCCAGGGTAGACCCGAGTGCTCCAGTTCTCTTGGAAGATCCAGTTCTTTGCGCTGTGGCAAAAAAACACCAGCGATCTCCAGCCCAGGTTGCCCTGAGATACCAACTGCAGCGTGGGGTTGTGGTTTTGGCTCAGAGTTTCAAGGAGAAGGAGATAAAAGAGAACGTGCAGGTGATGGTGGGGCCATGGGCATCAGAGCTTACTCAGCATTCTTCACATGTGTGCACCTTGGAAAACTCTCAGGACAGTTTTGGATAGTTATATTACCAGCATTTCCCATGCATAGGAGATTTCAGAAGTGATTGATTAGTGTTTTATCCTCCTATATTACAAGACAGATAGCAGATTCAGTGAGAGGATTTCATAGAGCATGGCTACTTTGGCTTCAGCATTAAACCAGCTGTGTCCCATCCATCTTGGGGGAAGTGACATCTTCTTTTTGTTTTTCTAAATGCCTGATTTGTGTTGTTTTCTTCATTCTACAAATCATTGTATTTTGCTTTCATTTCCTGGAGCACGCACCCATTTTAATATTCATGAATTTATTCACTTTGAGTTTCACTTTATGTTCTGATCATTTAAGATGATTGATTTTCTTTTTATTGTCATTTAGAATGTTTCTTCTCATATAACCTAGGGTAGCTGGAAAACAAACCACTTCAAATATTGAAGTTTAACGTATAAAACACTTGTTTGGCATGATTCTCTTGCTCAACGTGAAGTCTTCAAATGTGTTCTGTCTACTAACTGTTCACATTCATTTTCAATGAACTTTGCTACATTTACAGGTTACTGCAAGGTTGTGGTGGTTCAGGATGTTTGTCAGGGTATTGCGTTGGGTACTTCCACTGTCCTTGTGTGGAGTACCTCAGTTGTCCTCAATGTGATTTTTACCTATTTTCCATAAAGTCTAACCTTGATTTTAGCACATAGATCTGTCCCATGGCAGTGAATAGAAACTTGCAAACCCTTTCCATGCATAAGCTCAGATCTGAAATGGCATTGCTTCTGCCAATTTCTAGTGCACAGTGTGCAATACAAAGGACACAGAAGACTCCATCACTGAGGAAATAAGAAATCTCTTATTTGTGGCAGATTGTATAAATTCATGGAACAAACAATTTGGAGTCTGAGAGATGTAAATTATTTAGTTTTTTTCATAATCAATTTAATACACCCACATATTCCAGATGTTCCTTGTTTTCAAGACTTGGAGGCATTTATTGTAATGTGATCTCCATGGGCCAGGAATATAGCTCAGTGACACAGCACCTTCCTGGCAAGGTTATGAGTTTGATTCCAGTACAAAAAAAAAAAAAAAAAGAATGTGAAATGTCATCTCCAAAATTAGCTCAGATTTTCATTCTAATTATGGTGAATTTTCATGAACCTACTCTCCTGCTTTTAATTTGTCATCATTTTGTGTTGTGTCTTTTACAATACAATAGTATTTCAGTTTATTAATTTTTTAAAATGTTACAGTGCTCTATAGCCAAATTAATGTCCAATCCAAATTCATTTTTATAAAATTATATGAAAAGTGATCCAAGTATACTTATATAAACATTTAAGTGGCGCTCTAAATTTCCCAGACATGTCTTCTTGCATCAATTGTCTTATTAGTCTTCATATTATCATATTTATTTTGGAAAATTACATTTGCTGTGCAGAACAACAGAATTTTTCATTTGCTTTCTTGTTTAAAATTTTTAAGCTATTTTTTACTGTTTTGGTTATATGAAGTTTAAAATCACATACATATTCAAAAATTAAATCTTTATGCTTTTGATTGACATGACATTGAAACTATTAGTCAATTTCGAAGGAACTGGCTTTTTGAAATACTTGAGGATTCTAATTCATGATTTTAATACAAATTTTCAGTTATTTCGGTGCTCTTGGAAATATTTGAATTAGTTTCATAACTTTCTCTAACACATTACTATACATTCCCAATGTGATGTAGTTAAGCCTAGATTAGTAAGAACTTTTAATCATCTGTCCATAATTTAATCATTTATGTTATGGAAATTTTCATGTTTATTGAGATGTTCACTTATGCTATGAATGCCTCTAACTTAAATTTTTTTTGTGGTTAAATTATTGACCGGCTCTATCTTTTGATACAAGTATATTATGCAATTACAAAGGGTTGAAGGGAAAAAAGATTAAAAGATGCCACTTTTACACAATTTTAACAATTTAAACTCAGTTTTTGTGTTTAAAATGGTTCAAATTCAGACAAAATCTTCATAAACCTGAGTTTCTTGACATTGGTACATAAAGAATTAGTATTTGAAAAACTCCTAAATTAATTATAAGAAGATGAGAAAACACCTTTTACTTGTCACTAGGTATAGATTCAACTGTACTCATGAAACTTACTGAAATGCATACTTTTCATGCTTTTCTTTGGAACAGACTCTTCTGAATGACTTAAGTATAAATGCTATAATCTAGGTCGTGTCAGTTGTACTTCTTTCTTGCCTTTTTTCTTTTAAGCTTTTGTTTGCTTTTTAAAAATTATAATTTGTATATTTTAATTGCAAAAGTAGTGGGATTCACTGTGATTTCCCCACATATGTCTACTGTAACTATCAGGGTTTTACAAGAGACACAGAAAACACACACACACACACACACACACACACACACACACACACACAGTTATTCAAATATATAAGCATTTACAAGACTTGCCTAGGATGGTCACCCACATAGTTGGAAGAGAAAGTGAGCAGATGGCGTCTGTGACAGAAGGCAATGAGTCTGTGCTGGTAGGCTTAAGCGTGCAAGGCAGAAGCCAAAGTCTCTGTGCTAGAAGCCATGAGGCAATGTCTAAGCTGCAGGCAAAGACTGAAGCTCTTCAAACAGAAGCCTGTCCCTCATGTCGCTTTTATAATGACTGATGACAAACTGCCCCATGGTGGGCCCTCTGCACCCTCGGTTGCAGAACAGATGAGCCAACTTAGTTAAGCTTCTAAACTTAAGAAAGCAAATATCACTTTGATGTGAAGATTTCATTTCCTGCAGCTACATACTAAATATAGAATTCTTGATCATGTGATATATTCTATTTTTTATTTTGTTTGATGGTACAATTTAGATCCACACAATAGTCATATTCATCATAGAGAATCTGTGCTTGTACAAGACACAGCTTGACTCCTCTTTTGTTCCCAGTCCCCTCCCTGCTTTGACTCTGTCTTTGCCTTATTTGCAAAGATTCATTTACATTTTGTCTTTCTTTTATTTTTCCCTTCTTTCCTTTTCACCTCACTGCTCCCTAGTTTCCCTTCCCATTTGTTTCTCTGGTGTGAGAAACAAAACTGTAAGGACCAACAATGCAGTATTTACTTCCTCCATTTATTTCACTTAAGTGTATAGTTTCAAGGAGCATCCATTCATCAAGCATTATCTCAAGCTTATCCTTATTTATGGCTGAGTAGTGCATTGCATTAAAAAGCCACACCATTTTATATTCAGTTCTTGGTTGACGCACTTTTGGGTTGTGGCCAAGATTTAGTTATTACAAACTGTGCTGCTATAAACATTGATGAGTATATATCACCAATGTGAAACAATGTTTTTAATTTTTTTGCAAAGATATCCACAAGAGGAATAGCTGGGTCAAATGAGATCTGTAATCCTAGTTTTTTACGGAGTCTCTACTATCAGTCAGTACACTGATTTCCACCAGTCTACACTCCCATCAACAGTGGAGAAGGGTTTCTTTTTCTCTACAGCCCCTCTAGCATTTGTTATGGGATGATTCTTGATGACAGCCATTCATTCTGGAGTAAGATGGAATCTGAGTGTTGTTTTAATTCACATCTCTCAAATGAACAGTGATGTTGAACATTTTTTTTTTTTTTTTTGCCATTTGTGTTTCTTCCTTTAAGAAATGTGTATTAACTTCAGATGCCCATTTTTGGATTACATCTTGAAGGGTTTATTTTTGGGGGGTCTGACTTTTTTCAATTCTTTCTTATGCTCCAGATATCTCTGGTCTGAAGAATAACTGGCTGAATTTTTTTTTTCCCACTGTGTAGGTTCTCTTTTCACTCTACTGATAATTTTCTTTTATATTCAAAACTTTTAAATAAGATGAGATCCCAGCTGTTGATTCTTTGTAGTATTTCCCATGTGACTGAGGTTTTGTTATTTCTAGCATCTTTAATTATGGCCATTTTGACTGGAGTGAGATGGTATCTCATAGTGGATATGGTCTGCATGTCTATGGTAATTATGAAAATAAGCTTTTCAGAATGTGTATTTTGGTCATTCACATGTTTTCTCTTAAGAAGCAATTCGTTTTCCTTCTTATTCTCTTGAATTTTCATTATTGGCAAATATTCAGTTTAAATACACTGAAATCTTTCTACTTGTGTGATAGGTCTTTGAATTCCAGTTGACTTCTGAAGACATGAAAAACCTAGATGGTCAGGACAGAAATTTTCGATATGCTTCTGCTGACTTGTAAGTACCTTCAAACCCCATCTGTTATCTCATCTACTTTAGCATCAGATCTGTCCTTTTCATGCAGTGATGCCAAATCTTTGAAAGACTAAGTCCCAATCTGTAACTCAGATCCCACTTACTTATTGAAATTTCCAACACTACAATTAAGCCTGAATACTGTTGTTTTAATTTAGACATAGCTCTGTATTAACATCTTTTGTCTTAAGAGTAAAACACAATTATATGGGTGCCATAGGTTCTCCATCACTGCTGTAGTATGTTTGTTCACACCCCAAGCATTGCATTTCCCTCTCCAAAGGTTACAATTGAGGCAGTGATGGGAATACTTCATTTCAAGTTTCTAAAATAGAGATATCTGAAGGCAGAAGGTAAAGTAGTTAGAGAAATTCAAAAACAAGGAAAATGTGTGCAGAAATACTGCACTGCTGAAAAAATGCATAGTTATCATTAGGCCTTTACTCTTCCTTCAGCCTCTAGAGTTTAGGATAAAATATGTTTCCTATCTTCCCTTGGGAATTTTAATTTTTATGTTTGAAGGATGAATCAATAGTCCATAATTACATGTGCTGAATAATCACAAATACGTGATTATCATTGAAAATATTAGTTCAGTGTAGAGACATGCAAAGGACAATGTAGGAACAAGTGTTCAACAAAGTAAACAAAGTGAATCAATAAATATTGTCCCTTATAAGATATTTTAATGAGTAATGGATTGCTATCACTTTATATTTTGTGTTATTTTTAAAATATAAAGATTATATTCTAAGTTTGTTAGAAATAGAACACTATTTTATAGATTATTATTATGACTTTTTAAAGTAACTGAATCTAAGAAATATTTTGTGGAGTTTGTTGTGAGTAAATAAAAAGTGGATTAGTAAAATGGGAGTGAAGTTTCTAACAATAAGTACTGCATCCAGAAATACATTTTCTGCTAGTGAGCATTAGTGCTAGTCCTCAAAGTAAGGATGGCATAATCACCATTTTCATTGAAAATTTGAAGTGAGAGCATTTCCTTTTTTTCTTTTTTTGCACTGACAGATTTAGCTATGAATGGAGAAGGGAAAATATATCAATGACTTTCTCTGTGTTTTCTCTATGTTGAGTTATATTTTAGAAATATAATTTGGATAATATTGTTCAGAATTTTTAAAATTGCTGCAAATGTTCATGAAAGTACAAAATGTTCATTAAAGGCAGTGAGGAAACCAAATGATTAACATCAACTTAATGGCATATCCTTGTGTTGTGCTGCTTTATACAAGTAAAGACGGATTCATCAAGACTCTATTACTTGTCTTTTTAAAATTTCAGTCTCGCTGATGACCCTAAGTACCCATTTTCTGATGAATATTAATATGGATGTGGTTCTCGTGACTTCTGTTGGATCTACCTGGGTGTGGACAATGGTGAAGGAAAATCACAGATGCTGCTGTTTGAACGTATCACTTCTCAAACTGTATTTGTTAAGAACTCACAGTTACCTAATCCTCACTCCTTACACTCACAAGAGAATGCAATAAATATCAGAAAGTTTTCGAAAAAATATGAAAGTTTTCTCTAAAAACACTTTTCATTTTCTTTTTTATATCCATATTTATTTTCTTATGATGCTTTATTCTACAAAACAACTGTGTTAGAAGAGTGAGATAAGGTGCGGGAGATGACAGCAGCTCTGTCATAGCATCAGAATGGATAGAGCTGAGAAGTCCTAAGAGAGTAACAGTTAACCATTAACTTCTTGAGGCAGTCACTCTTCTTCTAGCACAAGGCTTAACGAGAAAACACATTGTATTTAGTACATGATCATTCAGCTGGCAATTTGGGCACATATGGAAAGGAGGCGAAAAGTCTAAGGAGTGACTTCTTGCAGCTCAACTATCACAGTGGCTGGCACAGATGAATGAGGTCTCTCGGTGAGGACTGGCAGGGTCCTGAGGAAGTCAAATTTTTCATTTGCTGATTGACAATCAGATGTAAGGGTCATTGAGGTGGGGGAGTTGAATACATCTTTGCTTTGAAAATAATGTCTAATGTTAACTTGATAATGCATGAGACAGATGCAAAGGGAATTTTCTCATTTTATAACCCATGTGAGAGCTCAGAACCATTTCAAACATTATTTTAAAAAACTGGAAGTGCCTCAAATTACAAAGTCACAAATAGTTATATTGATTATCATGAGCTGATACAGTGATACTTTTGAATCCATTAAAATTTTAGTATAGAGTTTATGTCACTGCAAAGTTGAGGCAGGAATCTCACAGCACTTTAATGAAAAAGTGAAGACACCGCTGGACCCTGATAAGTCAATATAATGGAACCTGTCATGAATAGTCATCAGTTTAATGCATGCTCATCTAGTTTACCGTCTGTGGGCCCACTCCCCTGGATAATGAGTCTTGACATTTCACATGATTGTAAACAATTTATATGTGCTAATAAAAGAATAGGCATCCTTTTTATTATGCAGACATGTTTTCCGTTTAATTTTTAAAGTTGACCTAGTGCTACTGCAGAAAAATATTTAAGAAATTTAAAAAGATAGAAATGTTGCTCTGTGTAACATATAAAAATTTAAAAAATTAAAACATAAACTGAAATCATTATATCCACAGAAAATAAGCAAAATAATATGCAGCATACTGAGTTAAAATTAATAAAAGAATCATACAAATGGAGAAAAGCGAAAAGAAATTAGATAAAAGAAACAAAAAATATGAACTCAAATAAGTCAAAAGTATAATTAATAGGAAGTATGAAAAAATACTAAAATGACCACAAAAGAAAATCAATAACTACTGTTAGAGTATTCTGGCGAAACAGAGAAGCAAAAAATACAAAGTGAACAGGTGTATTGAGGATGTGGAAAAAAATACAAAACCCATGATGCTTGGGCTGTCTCCTTTGAGCAGATACAGAGAGGCAGAAGGTTATAAGACTTCTGATTGGAAGTGGGGCATGGGGTGGATATTGATGACATGTGAGGAACTAATTGGCATTTTCTGTGCATGCAAACAGGAAGGGGAGTTGCAATTAGGACTGAAGAAGAAGCAAGAAGTGGTAAGCATTCCCGCTTTGGCCTTCTGCCATACTAGACAACTACCATAATTGCACAGTAATTTATACTAGGGCAAGAACCTTTCAACTAAAAAACAAACAAACAAACAAAAAAAACCCACATAAAATAAAAATTCCTCCTGGCTGAAGCTTGTGTAGGAAAGGCATCTTTCTGGATCCTCTCATAGTCTGATATTCTAGCACCCTGAGGTGTAGGTGTAGTGTGTCACTAATCAGGCAGCTGTGCCTCCTGTCATCTTTCAGCAAAGGGAATTATGATAAATTGAGATATAGCTAATAGTTCATGCTGCATGGTTTAAGATATACAATGAGGAAATGATTATGTGTGCCCAAACTTTCTCCATATGCACACCCAGAGTGGCAATGAAAGAGAAGCCTGTACACATCTCTCACTATTGTAGGTTTAGCAGTTTCTCCACCAAACTAAGCCTGCATGTTCCTTGCAAACCCTCAGTCTATGTGCCTTGGAACAAGATGAAAGCCAAGTGTGTTCATTTTTCATAATAGTTGTACATATTTAAAGGTTGCAGTGTGATGTTTTTGTTTCTACATGTGTTGAGATAGCATTGAGCAAATCAGTAACCACTCTTTTTTATTTAAAAAAATGATTAAGATAAAAGAGGACATAACAAAAACAGGTCAGAACAAAACAATTTAAGGAACATAGTGTTTCACTACAAGACAACCTGTAATTAACAGTAGCTACCAGAGTGTCTCTTTGCTTGAAATATTTGAATATACCTTCATACACTATATTATCACATAACAAAACAGTGTAAAACCATTTAAGAGAATGAAAGTATTACAAGTATTCAGAACCAACTAACAGAAAATGGACGATGGTTACTATATTATCTCCTTGTCCATAAAATTTTTGTTTCTACTATTGCATATAATAAAATCAAATAAGATACAACATGATAAAACAGATGGAGACACAAGAACCAAAGCTTGGTGGGACTTCACAACAAGATGATACTAACTCAGCAATCGCTATTATAATGTCTTGTTTTCTTCAAAATAGCTGATCATACCATCACAGACAATAAAATCAAACAACCTACAATAAAACCATTCCAATTAATGAATGAAAGCATTATAAGGCTACAAAGCAAGATACTGTGGAATCTTGATTACCGTGTACATTTATGTATTCTTACCATTTGTTACATTAGGGAAACTATTCAGTATTTATACATGTGAGTGTGATTTATTTTCCTTATGAGTATGATCTCAAGTTGCATCCTATTATTTATAATATCTCAATATGATCATTCTTTATAGCTGTGTAGTACTCCATTGTATAAAAATACCACAACTTTTTTATCCATTCCTCAGTTGATGGACACTTATGTTGTTTCCAAGTTCTGGCTATTACAAATTGTGCTGCTAAAACATGGGTGCACATATATCACTGTATTATGATGTTTTCAGTTCTTCTGGGAATATGCCTAGAAGTAGAATAGCCAAAACAAATGGGACTTCAAATCCCAGCTTTTTGAGAAAGCTCCAGGCTGATATCCATAAGGGTTGCAGCAGTCTACACTCCCACACACAGTGCAGGAGAATTCCTTTTTACCCACAGCCTCTCCAGCATTTGTTGTTGTTGGTTTTCTTGATCCTGGCCATTCTTTCAGGAGTGGGATGGAATCTCAATGTGGTTACAATTTGCATTTCTCTAATGAGTAATGATGATGAATACTTTTTCATGTATTTATTTGCATTTGTGTTTCTTAATCTAATAATTGGGTATTCATCTCAGATGGCCATTGTTGGATTGGATCTTTGAATATTAGGCTTCTGGTTTTTTAAAAATTCTTTACATGTTTTAGAAAAAAGTCCTTTGTCTGAGTGACAGTTCACTAAGATTTTCTCCTAGTTTGTTGGTTTTCTTTTCAGTAGGCTGGGGATTTCTTTTGACATGCAGAAACTTTTTAGTAAGACATGATCCCAGTTATTGACTCTGGGAAGTATTTCCCATGCGGTTTGAGGCCTGTTCATGAATTCTCTACCTACCCCTATGTCTTCAAGGTTTTTACCCAATTTGTCTTCCAATAGATTTAGTATTTCTGTTTTAATATTCAAATCTTTGATCCATTTAGATTTTAATTTAGTAAATGGTGATAGGCATGGGTCTAGATTTAGTTTTTGGCATATGGAGAGCCAGGTTTTCCAGCACCATTTATTAAAGGGACTGTTGCTGTTCCAGTGTACATGTTTGGCCCCTTTGCCAAAGATAAGGTGGTTGAGTGTGTTTTTAGTTGTGGTTGTATCTTCTAATCGATTCCACTGATATTCAGATATGCTTTTGTTCTAGTACCATGTTGATTTTATTACAGTTGCTTTGTAGTATAACTTCAAGCCAGGGATCATGATGCCTCCTGCCTTGCCTTTGCTGCTTAGAACTGTCCTTGCTATTCTTGGTCTCTTGTGGTTCCAGATGAATTTTAAGAGTGATTTCTGTAGATCTCTGACATGTGTTGATGGTATTTTTATTGGGATTACATTGAATCTATATGAAAGTTTTGGGAGAGTGGCCATTTTCACAATATTTGTTTTTCCAATCCATGAGCAAGGGATGTGTTTCCATTTTCTGAGATCTTCTTCAACTTGTTTTTTCAGTGTATTATAATTTTCCCTGTATAGGTCTTTCATTTCTTTTATGAGAATAATTCCTAAATATTTCATTTATTTGGTTGCTAGTGTGAAGGGTGTGGCTTCTCTTATCTCTCTCTCTGTGATTTTGTTGTTAGTGTATAGGGATGCTATTGATTTTTGAGTGGTGATTTTGTATCCAGCTGCATTGCTGAATTCATTTATTATATCTAGGAGTTTTTCAAAGGTGTTTTGGGGGTCTTCTATGTACAGTATTTTGTGGTTCACAAATAATGATAATTAAACTTCCTCTTTTCTTATCTTTTTCCCCTTTATTTCTCTCTCTTGTCTAATTGCTCTGGCTAGTATTTCTAGTACTACATTAAATAGAGCATTGATAAGGGACATCCTTGTCTTGCTCCTGATTTCAAAGTAAAGGCTTTCAGTTTTTGGCCATTTAATATGATGCTGGCAGTTGATTTGTCATAGATGGCCTTTATCGTATTGAGGTAAAGACCATCTATTCCAATTTTCTGTAAGGTTCTTACCATGAATGAATGTTGGACCTTATTGAAGGCTTTTTCTGCACCTATAGAAATGATCATGTGATTCTTACTTTTGGCTTTATTGATATGGTAGATTACATTTATTGATTTACTTTTGTTTAACCATCCATGTATGCATGAGATAAATTGCACTTGGTTGTGGTGATAATCTTCTTGATAATTTGCTGCATCCTATTTGCCAATATTTCATTGAGGATTTTTGCATTTGTGTTCATTATGGAGATTGGCCTGTATTTCTCTTTTTTAGTTGGGTCTTTCTCAGGTTTTGGCACTAGAGTAATATTTGCTTGCAGGAATGATTTAGGAAGGTT